GAATTGGTAGATTAACCTAGTGGTAGCATGACTAGTACAGGTGAACTAACATTTTAGGTCAGGGGTTACTGCGCGGAGGCCAGCTAGTGGTGACTCTATTTAACAGTGATGGCCTCTGCGATAGCAGCTGTTTTTTCCAGTCGAGAAGGCCTCCCCACCTATTTCTTGCTTGCTCTGACCCTACTCGCACTCCTGGACTGGAAAAAGAGGGGAGGAAAAGGGATAGGACAATATTTAAGAATCGTCCCTAGGGGGCAGGGTAGAGAGGTCGTCGGTGTATTGAACAGGCAGTGGGATCGGTCGTGCCGTGTTTTGGTGAGGTCTTGATTTAGGGGGGGTACCCTAAAAAGGCAAATGGTACTTTTTAGTGGTACATGTTTGCCACTACACCTAAAAGAGCAAAGGGCCTTGTTCACTGGCACCCTAAAAAGGAACATTTGTACCTTTACTAATCTGTCCCATATTGGCTCTTTAGGTAATTCTCTCTTCTGTTTGTTCGCTTTCCGGCCCTAAGGGTTGTCAAATGATGTATGTATCTAGACTAAAGGTACAAAGTGACAAGCGTTTGACCCCTTTAAGAAACAAAATCTAAACTTTTATTACCTGAGAGTGTAGGTTGAGTTAACAGCGATTATATAAAGAGGCAAAAAAAATGAACACTTCAATCAGCTTGGTTCACTTGAATTTTAGTTATGTGTGTCGGCTCTGCCCTTTTGGTTCGTTGGGTGAGAATGTGGTGAGAGGGAGAGAGTACAGTCCATATCACAAAACTGGGGGGCGGGGGAACAAATTCATCTAAGAGAATGATGTTGAGAAGAGAGGAGAGAAGAGAGAGAGGAAGGGGGATGGAAGGAGAAGGGAAAGCAAAGAGAGTAGAAAAAAGGGATGAGAGGGGGAGGAGAGGAGAGAGAGAGGAGAGACAATCCATTCAATCAATATGGAGACTTTATTGACCATGGCAAGTTTTCAAAACAATTAATTACATTGTCAAAGTTATACATTTATAACCAAAAATGGTGGTGGGACCAACAGCAATAATCAATAGTAGTAGTTAGTGGGGAGGAAAGGGGAAGTCACAAGGAAAAGGCAACGTAAAACAACAAGGATTAAGCGAGAGTATGAAAGAGGAAGGAGAGAGAGAGCAGAGAGAGGAGAGAGAAGAGAGAAGAGAGAGAGGACAGAGAGAGAGAGGAGAGAGAGAGAAAAAGAGGAGAGGAGAGAGAGAGAGCAACGCAGAGAGCAGAGAGAGAGAGAGAGAGAGAGAGAGAGAGAGAGACGCAAAAGAGAGGAAAATAAGAGAGCGAGAAAAAAGTCAGAAGGTGGATAGAGGAAAGCAGAGAGAGGAGAGGTCGAGAGAGAGAGAGCGCGAACGGGTTGGAGAGCAGAGAAGGAAGAGGAGAAGGAGATAGAGAGGAGAAATGAAGAAAAGAGAGAAAAATTGGGAGAGCAGGAGACGACGAACAAAAAAGAGAGAGGAGAGAGAGTAAAACGGGAGAGGAGTAGAGAGAGAGTAGAGACGAGAGAAAAGACAGAGAGAGGACAAGGAGAGAAGAGAGAGAGAGAGTAAGAGAAAAAAAAAGGAGAATAAGAGAGAGAGAGAGAGAGAAGAGAGAGAGAGAGAGTAAAGAGAGAGAAAAGAGAAAGGAGAAAGGAGAGAGAGAGAGAAGAGAGAGAGAGAGGCGAAGAGAGGAGGAGAGAGAGAAAAAGAGAGAGGAGAGGAGGAGAGGAGAGCCAGGAGAGAGATAGACCGAGGAGAGAGAGAGAGAGAATATATAGAGATTAGAGTAGATGAGAAGATATGTAGTATATATGTAGAGATATAGATATAAAATATATCTTGTTTAATATATATTATATGTATATGTAGTACTATACTATTTAATATAATATTATTTCCATCTCACTTCCCTTTTTTGCCGTTCCTTTGTTCCCTTCCCGTATCTCTCGTTTTCTTGTATCGTCTCTGGATAGGGAGAAGAGAAAGAGAGAAAAGTAGAAAGAACGCAGAGAGAGAGCAAGAGAGAGAGAGTAGCAGAGACTTTTATGACGCAGAACGAAGAGAGAGATAGAGATAGAGTCGAGAAACAAGAGACGAGTAGATAGAGATAGCGACGTCCGTTCTTCACAGTACTATATCACTCTTCTATGTATCTTGCATATTCATCTACTACCCTCTACATATCAATCCCTATCCAGACTCTAGCATATGTCTACTGTTCTCGCTCTCTCTCTACTCTCTGTCTATGTCTCTGGTGAGACTGACTCTGTCAGGTCTCTTCATATCTTCTCTCATCTGTCCTGTGGGCTTCTCTCTCTGTTAGTGTGTCTCCTTGGTGTACCAATCTATTCGTGCTTCCCCCCTACTCAGTTCTCGGTCTTTCCGGTCTCTGTCTCTCTCTCTCTCTCTATCTCTCTCTCTCTCTCTCTCTCTCTCTCTCTCTCTCTCTCTCTCTCTCTCTCTCCGCCTCCCTCTCTCTCTCTCTCCGCCTCCCTCTCTCCTTCAGTCCTCTCTCCAACTACAGATTATGTAAATCTCTAGACAAAACCACCCCTTTTCTAACGAGATAAAGACGTCAGATTAACGTCTAATTTAGGTTGATATTTAATTGGGTTTGTCAACAAACATAAATCCAACTTGAAACAAACCCATTAAAACCTTATAGTTGATATTGTGGCGGACAGTGTATGATGTCTCCTCCTACAGTAAGCGGCATCCCGAAACACGCCTGAGATCTAGACCAAGTGTTACAACACAAGCTTCCTTTCTTCATCTGGTAACCAGGCAACAAGCACCCATCTTGGGTTCTCTTCTCACTATGAACTAGAAGAGAACCATAAATGGTGTACGATGTGTATGATAAAGGGTAACGTGTAATGTCTGTATCAAGCATTTCGCCACATCCGCAATAACAATATATATCGCTTGTTCTGCTAAATATGTTTATGTGACCAATACAATTAGATGTTATATGTTGGGTGTGTAATATCCAGTGTTTATTTTGTATGCAGCAGTACTGAGTGTCTAAGACCATCTTCCCGTTGGGACATTAAAGTTAATCATATCCTACCAATGGCATGATGTCATTGACACATCCTTGTTCAAGGAAGAGACCAATGCGACCATATTCATGACACATCTCTCTCCAGAGAATCAGTTAGTCTGCTCTCTCTACTCTCTCGATGCTTACATTTTTTAAAATGTTTTAGTCATTTAGCAGACTCTCTTATACAGAGCGACATACAGTTAGTGCATATATTTTATTCATTTTTTTTCATACCCCCGTGGGAATCGAACCCACAACCGTGGGCGTTGCAAACACCATGCTCTACCAACTGAGCTACATCCCTGCCGGCCATTCCCTCCCCTACCCTGGGCCAATTGTGCGCCGCCCCACGGGGTCTCCCGGTCGCGGCCCGGCTACGACAGAGCCTGGATTCGAACCACGATCTCTAGTGGCACAGCTAGCACTGCGATGCAGTGCCTTAGACCACCGCGCCACTCGGGAGGCTACTGGGTTGACGTGACTCCATACTGCTTCCGACAGCCTGTCTGGTATGGATGCGGTCACACCACTGAGACACAGAGTTTCAGTATACCAGCAGAGTCTGCATCCCAAATGGCATCCCATTCCCTCTGGGCCCTGGTCAAAAGTAGTGCACTATATTGGGAACAGGGTAACATTTGGGACGCGACCACAGTATTAGTCTATCATCATCTCTGATCCAGTGAACATCAGGTTCTATTTCAGGAGGCCGATTATGCTAAGCTCAGAATGCAGAGTGTGTTTTCGCCACAACAATGGCACCCTATTCCCTATTTAGTGCACTACTTTTGACCAGGGCTCATAAGGCTCATAATGGAATAGGGTGTAATTTGGGACGTAGCCTTAGTTTAATAGAACCCTATTCTTACACAACAGGAAGCAGGAAACATAAATGTAAGACAACTTCCTACGACGAGAAGAGGATGATTTTCTCTGAGGAATACTATACTGTATATCTTTAATTAGTTGAGATATTTGGGAATGACGCACAATACTCTACATATCAATCACCCCTCAAAAACTTTCTCACGGCAAAAATGTTCAGGCTGATTTTGAAGGTGGTTTAAGTCATAGGGCTCCCGAGTGGCGCGGCGGTCTAAGGCACTGCATCTCAGTGGTTGAGGCGTCACTACAGACCGAGTGGCGCGGCGGTCTAAGGCACTGCATCTCAGTGCTTGAGGTGTCACTACAGACCCCCTGGTTCGATTCCAGGCTGTATCACAACCGGGCCGTGATTGGGAGTCCCATAGGGCAGCGCACAATTGGCCCAGCGTCGCCCGGGTTTGGCCGGTGTAGGCCGTCATTGTAAATAAGAATTTGTTCTTAACTGACTTGCCTAGTTAAATAAAGGTAAAATTAAATTAAATAGTGATGAGTCCCACCACACCAGTGATTACATAATATCCTGTTATAAAGATGGTCCTCCCAGTAGTGATGGGGAGGCTGAGGGAAAGCAGAGGCCTCTGGGGGATGGAGTCCTGGTTCAGGAGAAGCAAGGGCGTCTGGGGGATGGCGTTCCAACAGAACACAAGAGATGCCTCTGAGGGATGGAGTACTCCTGGTGCTAGGGAAGCAGAGGCTTCTGGGGGATGGAATCGGATGAAGGAACAAAACAGAACAGAGGCCTCTGGGGGATGGAGTCCTACTGGTGCTGGGGGAAGCAGAGACTTCTGGGGGATGGAGTCATTTTATGTGCGTACAGAACAATAGTTAGGTCCCTGCTGACTGACGCCAGTTCCCGTTCGTTAACTAGGAGGAAAGATAATACAGATATCAAAGCTTTTCTCTGTGTAGTTATCAAAGCCTTTTCTGGCAGTCCAGGAAGACCAGAGCTGTTACGCAAGTTGAGATATTTATTTCTCAGCTCAGAGAGCCAGTTGGAATGGGAGGAGGCCTCAGAGGGCCTGCAGTATGACGTTCTGAGGCTGAGGGGGTCCTAAAATGTACACCATGCTAGCCAAGTTTTAAGGCCTGGTAGAACTGCAGCTTGGAGTTCTGAGGCTCCTAGATGAGGCTACAGGTTTCCTAAAATGTACACTGTGCTAGCTTGTTTTGAGGCTAGTTTGTTCCGAGGTTAGCTTGTTCCGAGGTTAGCTTGTTATGATGCTAGCTTGTTCTGAGGCTAGCTTGTTCTGAGGTTAGCTTGTTATTAAGCTAGCTCAGTTTGTTGTTGGTGTAGTATCTCAGTATGTTGTTGGTGTAGTATCTCAGTATGTTGTTGGTGTAGTATCTCAGTATTGTGTTGGTGTTGGTTGTAGTAGCTCATATGTTGTTGGTGTAGTATCTCAGTATGTTGTTGGTGTAGTATCTCAGTATGTTGTTGGTGTAGTATCTCAGTATGTTGTTGGTGTAGTATCTCAGTATGTTGTTGGTGTAGTATCTCAGTATGTTGTTGGTGTAGTATCTCAGTATCTCAGTATGTTGTTGGTGTAGTATCTCAGTATGTTGTTGGTGTAGTATCTCAGTATGTTGTTGGTGTAGTATCTCAGTATCTCAGTATGTTGTTGGTGTAGTATCTCAGTATGTCGTTGGTGTAGTATCTCAGTATCTCAGTATGTTGTTGGTGTAGTATCTCAGTATGTTGTTGGTGTAGTATCTCAGTATCTCAGTATGTTGTTGGTGTAGTATCTCAGTATCTCAGTATGTTGTTGGTGTAGTATCTCAGTATCTTACCAGTATCTTGTTAGTATAGTATATAGTGTGATAGGTTCTTACCAGTATCTTGGTGGTGTAGGCGCTGTTGAGGGAGATGGCGTTGACAAGGATATCCAGAGACTTGACAGACAGAAGTCCAGGGTCCGGTATCTCCTTGTAGTGGACATCCCCCACGTAACACGCCACGGCCGTCATGCGGTTGGTGGTCAACGTGCCAGTCTTGTCGGAGCAGATAGCCGTAGCATTACCCATCGTCTCACATGCATCCAGGTGGCGGACCAGATTATTATCTTTCATCATTTTCTGAGGATGAAATATCAACCATGTTGGAGGTTTTAGCTTTGTTACAATTCAATATATCTTTATTTATCCCCTCAGAGGCAATGAAGGGAGACACAGCCAGCACTAAAAATATAATTTGTCGCGATATGTGCAACATCGTCTGCCAGCAGTAATTAGTCACAGAGATTGTACAGGTAGAGGTTCTTGTTAAATAGTTTTTAGTGCTGCAACACATTAGATAATAGTTTTTAGTGCTGCAACACATCAGATAATAGTTTTTTAAAAGTATACTTTGACAGAGTAGTAGTGGAAATTTGCCCCAAAAATATATATTTTATTTTGTATATAAAGATAGAAAGCTTGCTTTTTTCTCTACCTTGACAGAGTAGGCCAGGGAGATGGTGACAGCCAGTGTGTGTGTGTGTGTGTCTGTGTGTGTGTGTGTGTGTGTTTGTATGTGTTTGTGTGTGTGTATGTGTGTGTGTGTGTGTGTGTTTACCTTGACAGAGTAGGCCAGGGAGATGGTGACAGCCAGTGTGTGTGTGTGTGTGTGTCTGTGTGTGTGTGTGTGTGTGTGTTTGTATGTGTTTGTGTGTGTGTGTGTGTGTGTGTGTATGTGTGTGTGTGTGTGTGTTTACCTTGACAGAGTAGGCCAGGGCGATGGTGACGGCCAGGGATGTGTGTGTTTACCTTGACAGAGTAGGCCAGGGAGATGGTGACGGCCAGGGGCAGACCCTCAGGCACAGCCACCACCAGCACGGTGACACCGATGATGAAGAACTTGACAAAGTACTGGACATAGATGGGGGTGCACTCCGTCAGCCACGGCCTCTTCTGCAGGACAAAGTTGTCCACAGCGAAGTACAGCACGAGGATGATCACTGTGATGGCTGACATCACCAGACCTGGACAAGGAAATGGCTGCTTTTACTGTAGTTGTAAACAGATGAAAGTGCAAGATGGCTGGCTTCTTTTGACTTACATGATATGAAATATTTATTTCAAACTTTTATCTTCAGAAATCAACAGCACAGCAGCAGTGCAACTACTTTGTGAATAATAGATTTATTTCTGCGATTTTGATTTACCGCATTACACATCTACTCCTACACTTCCGTCTGTGATTTAATCCATCTCAGAATGTCTGCTTGATCTAATCTATATCTGCCACATAGAGATACATTATGTGGATTAGAGATTATACACATTGCATTAGGAAAGTATTAAGACCCCTTCACTTTTTCCACATTTTGTCACGTTACAGCCTTCTAAAATTGATTAAATAAAACATGTTCCTCAGCAATCTACACACAACACCCTATAATGACAAAGCAAACACAGGTTTTTAGAACATTTAGCACATTTATCAAAAATAAAAAACTGACCCTTTACTCAGTATTATGTTGAAGCATCTTTGGCATGATGCTACAAGCTTGGCACACCTGTATTTGGGGAGTTTCTCCATTCTTCTCTGCAGATCCTCTCAAGCTCTGTCAGGTTGGATGGGGAGCGTCGCTGCACAGCTATTTTCAGGTCTCTCCAGAGTTGTTCGATCGGGTTCAAGTCCGGGCTCTGGCTGGGCCACTCAAGGACATTCAGAGACTTGTCCCGAAGCCACTCCTGCGTTGTCTTGTCTGTGTGCTTAGGGTTGTTGTCCTGTTGGAAGGTGAACCTTCACCCCAGTCTGAGGTCCTGAGCAGGTTTTCATCAAGGATCTCTCTGTACTTTGCTCCGTTCATCTTTCCCTCGATCCTGACAAGTCTCCCAGTCCCTGCCGCTGAAAATCATCCCCACAGCTGCCACCACTGTGCTTCACCGTAGGGATGGTGCCAAGTTTCCTCCAAATCTGACGCTTGGCATTCAAGCTAAAGTTCAATCTTGGTTTCATCAGACCAGAGAATCTTGTTTCTCATGGTCTGAGAGTCCTTTAGGTGCCTTTTGGCTAAATCCAAGTGGGCTGTCATGTGCCTTTTACTGAGGAGTGGCTTCCGTCTGGCCACTCTACCATAAAGGCCTGATTGGTGGAGTGCTGCAGAGATGGTTGTCCTTCTGGAAGGTTCTCCCATCTCCACAGAGGAACTCTGGAGCTCTGTCAGAGTGACCATCGGGTTCTTGGTCACCTCCCTGACCAAGGCCCTCTCCGTTTGGCCGGGCGGCTAGATCTAGTAAGACCTTCAATGGTGCAGAAATATTTTGGTACCCTTCCCCAGATCTGTGCCTCGACACAATCCTGTCTCTGAGCTCTGCAGACAATTCCTGCGACCTCATGGCTTGGTTTTTTCTCTGACATGCACTGTCAACTGTGGGACCTTATATAGACAGGTGTGTGCCTTTCCAAAGCATGTCCAATCAATTGAATTCACCACAGGTGGACTCCAATCAAGTTGGCCTCCCGAGTGGCGCAGTGGTCTGTGCCACTAGAGATCCTGGTTCAAATCCAGGCTCTGTCGTAGCCGGCCGCGACCAGGAGACCCATGGGGCGGCGCACAATTGGCCCAGCGTCGTCCAGGGTAGGGGAGGAAATGGCCGGCAGGGATGTAGCTCAGTTGGTAGAGCATGGCGTTTGCAACGCCAGGGTTGTGGGTTCGATTCCCACGGGGGGTATGAAAAAATAAGTAAATAATGTATGCACTCATTAACTGTAAGTCGCTCTGGATAAGAGCGTCTGCTAAATGACTAAAATGTAAATTGTAGAACCATCTCAAGGTTGATCAATGGAAACAGGATGCACCTGAGCTCAATTTCGAGTCTCATATCAAAGGGTCTGAATATTTATGTAAATAAGGTGTTTCTGTTTGTTTTTTAAAATATATTTGCAAACATTTCTAAAAACCTGTTTTCGCTTTTGTCATTATGGGGTATTGTGTGTAAATTGATAAGGAAAACAATTAATTTAATCAATTTTAGAAGAAGGCTGTAACGTAACAAAATGTGGAAAAATGGGACGTTTTGGTTTGGGTCCGAATGCACTGTATAATGTATACTGTACACTGTATAATGCACTGTATAATGTATACTGTATAATGTATACTATACACTGTATAATGTATACTGTACACTGTATAATGTATACTGTATTATGTATACTATACACTGTATAATGTATACTGTACACTGTATAATGCACTGTATAATGTATACTGTATAATGTATACTGTACACTGTATAATGTATACTGTACACTGTATAATGTATACTGTACACTGTACACTGTATACTGTATACTGTATACTGTATAATGTATACTGTATAATGTATACTGTACACTGTGTAATGTATACTGTACACTGTATAATGTATACTGTACACTGTATAATGCACTGTATAATGTATACTGTATAATGCACTGTATAATGTATACTGTATAATGCACTGTATAATGTATACTGTACACTGTATAATGTATACTGTACACTGTATAATGCACTGTATAATGTATACTGTATACTGTATAATGCACTGTATAATGTATACTGTACACTGTATAAAGCACTGTATAATGTATACTGTACACTGTATAATGCACTGTATAATGTATACTGTATAATGTATACTATACACTGTATAATGTATACTGTACACTTTATAATGTATACTGTATTATGTATACTATACACTGTATAATGTATACTGTACACTGTATAATGCACTGTATAATGTATACTGTATAATGTATACTGTACACTGTATAATGTATACTGTACACTGTATAAAGCACTGTATAATGTATACTGTACACTGTATAATGTATACTGTACACTGTATAATGTATACTGTACATTGTATAATGCACTGTATAATGCACTGTATAATGTATACTATACACTGTATAATGTATACTGTACACTGTATAATGCACTGTATAATGTATACTGTATAATGTATACTGTACACTGTATAATGTATACTGTACACTGTATAATGCACTGTATAATGTATACTGTATAATGTATACTGTACACTGTATAATGCACTGTATAATGTATACTGTACACTGTATAATGTATACTGTACACTGTATAATGCACTGTATAATGTATACTGTATAATGCACTGTATAATGTATACTGTACACTGTATAATGTATACTGTACACTGTATAATGCACTGTATAATGTATACTGTATAATGCACTGTATAATGTGCACTGTATAATGCACTGTATAATGTATACTGTATAATGCACTGTATAATGTATACTGTATAATGCACTGTATAATGTATACTGTACACTGTATAATGTATACTTTTTTTTTTGCTGGTGCTTCATTTTCCTTGTTCCTTTTGGGGACTTTGAGGCCCCTGCATTAATCCTGGGCTCCTCCTCTTAGCTGTTTGTGGCCCGCCTGTTAGCTTGCACGATTCTTGCCGTGCCATACCACACTCAGTCACTTAGGTCTCTAATTTTTCCCATTATAACGTTCAATCGAACAGTAACTGAATGCCTCGATGCCTGTCTGCCTGCTTTATATAGCAAGCCACGGCCACGTGACTCACTGTCTGTAGGCGCGATCCAGTTCCGTGAACGGGGGGTGGCGTACCTAATAAACTGGCCGATGAGTGTACATGCGTATGGGTATTCTACATGGCGACGTCTTTAAATGCTTTTATCACCTTAGAAAGCGCTGTCCATTTCGTTGTGTCAGGCTTTGAAACAAGATCCACAACGACCACGTTTTATATTCAGTTTCAGCCTGTTGTTGAACTTCGTACTTCAGATTGATCAATCACAGTGAGGTCAAACGATGTAGGCTGTTCGTACGGTGGGTTTAAAAGCATGATACCCCCCACACCCACCCAAAATAATTAGACCGCCATTGATTAACATGTTGCACTCTCATCACCAGTCATACTCATCATTCAGATTATTCCAATTCAGTCAATTAACTGTTTTTTGAAGTGATTTTTTTGATTGCATTTGCATTGATGTTAAGAGTGTTTAGAGGGACAATAGAGCGCTGAGTACCAGGGCCATTCAGGTCGATAGCGAGTACCAACGCATCAGCGCCATTCAGGGAGCAGAACAGGAGGAGATTACTGTGTCACAAAGGTCACATGGAATTTGACTGCGGTCACGACTCATGACTGCCGGTGTGGCGGTAATACGGTCACCGCAACAGCCCTAGTCGTACACTGAGCGTACAAAACATTAACCCGTCTCCTCCCCGTCATCTACACTGATTTGAAGTGGATTTAACAAGTGACATCAATAAGGGAATCATAGCTTTCACCTGGATTCACCTGGTGAGTCTATGTCACTCAGTGTACAAAACAAATCACTCAAACCATATTGAGTGATTTGACATGACTTATTTTTTATTTTTTTTATAGAAATATATAATTTATCATGTTGACTGATCCTGCCGTACCTGCTTTGCCGATCTGAACAGCTAGCTTGGTCAGTTTCCCCTGGAGGACAGACTTCTCTTTTTTGGAGACGTTTGCTTTCTTCTTCTCCTTCTCCTCCATCTCTCCTCCCTCCGCGCTCTTCAGAGGCTGCATCTCCATGGCAGCCGCCCCGTCCTGCTTCTTCACTGAAACGACCACAGGAACAGTGATCATTATGGGATGTGTCCCCGTGGTCTGTTCTATATAGGAAGGACCCCCAACTTAGGTTGATCCTGTGGCCTATGCTATAGGAAAGACCACAACTTAGGTCGAGTCCATCCATTTATGTAAAACACGTTATCGAAACCAGTGGTGCTCTTAAGCATCGCCCAACAGAGACAGTGGTGTGATTTAATGTATCTTCGATACATTTATATTTCATTGCCTTTAACCTCTCACCACAACTGTCTGAAGAAGTGGTCATTCTAGTTAACTGAACTAGTCAGGAAAAACAAGTGTAGTTCAACATTTTAAAGCAAAGATCCACAATTCAAATAACACCAAAACACCAAAAGAGTTTGAAAGAGAATTGTTGTTAAAAAGGTTCAGCGAATGTCATACTTTTGATCCGGTGCAAGACAAGACAAATTAACAAAATACTGTTCTCAGCAGGTTAAGAAACATTGTTGTCCAAGGTTAAAAAGATACAGCTCATAACAGTCAATCAACATCCTTCCTAAAGTCATTTAATATATATATATATATATCCTTTGTTTTCAATTAATAATTTGAATCTTCACATTTGTATCTGCATGTAGACAAACATTCAGTATTCTTCAGGAGAATAATAATTGAAGAACGATTTGCCCTTGGTTACCTCATCACAGTACAATGTAAAGCACTTTGAGCCCTAATGGAAAAACCTGTATACAAACCCTGTACAGAGAGAGCCCTGTACAGAGAGAGCCCTGTGCAGAGAGAGCCCTGTACAGAGAGAGCCCTGTACAGAGAGAGCCCTGTGCAGAGAGAGCCCTGTACAGAGAGAGCCCTGTGCAGAGAGAGCCCTGTGCAGAGAGAGCCCTGTACAGAGAGAGCCCTGTACAGAGAGAGCCCTGTACAGAGAGAGCCCTGTGCAGAGAGAGCCCTGTACAGAGAGAGCCCTGTACAGAGAGAGCCCTGTGCAGAGAGAGCCCTGTACAGAGAGAGCCCTGTGCAGAGAGAGCCCTGTACAGAGAGAGCCCTGTACAGAGAGAGCCCTGTGCAGAGAGAGCCCTGTACAGAGAGAGCCCTGTGCAGAGAGAGCCCTGTACAGAGAGAGCCCTGTACAGAGAGAGCCCTGTGCAGAGAGAGCCCTGTGCAGAGAGAGCCCTGTACAGAGAGAGCCCTGTGTGAATGCAAACTATTATTAACATACTGTAACTTCCAAGTACATTACGTATCTGCTAGCTAGCAGGAAAACCTTCATGATGAACGCTATTTGCAAAGAATAGTGTGAGTGGAACAAGATCTGGGCAGACTGACCTCTAAATGAGAGTTAGAGAGATCGAGAGAGAGAGAGAGAGATCGAGAAATAGAAAGACAGAGCGATAGAGATCGAGAGAGAGAGAGAGAGAGAGAGAGAGAGAGGAGAGAGAGAGAGAGAGGACGGGAGAGAGAGGAGAGAGAGGAGAGAGAGAGAGAGAGAGAGAGATCGAGAGAGAGAGAGAGAGAGAGAGGAGAGAGAGAAAGAGAGGGAGGAGAGAGAGAGAGAGAGAAGAGAGAGGAGAAAGAGCGAGACCTTGAGACAGCCACAACACTGCAGACGGTGACAACAACACTGCAGACAAGACTTACATCAGGCTGATTGGATGTTAACTCAGAAGAATGTTAGAGACTCAGCGTTAAGGGAACGTTAGAGACTCAGCGTTAAGGGAACGTTAGAGACTCAGCGTAAGGGAACGTTAGAGACTCAGCGTTAAGGGAACGTTAGAGACTCAGCGTTAAGGGAACGTTAGAGACTCAGCGTTAAGGGAACGTTAGAGACTCAGCGTTAAGGGAACGTTAGAGACTCAGCGTTAAGGGAACGTTAGAGACTCAGCGTTAAGGGAACGTTAGAGACTCAGCGTTGAGGGAACGTTAGAGACTCAGCGTTAAGGGAACGTTAGAGACTCAGCGTTAAGGGAACGTTAGAGACTCAACGTTAAGGGAACGTTAGAGACTCAGCGTTAAGGGAACGTTAGAGACTCAGCGTTAAGGGAACGTCAGAGACTCAGCGTTAAGGGAACGTCAGAGACTCAGCGTTAAGGGAACGTCAGAGACTCAGCGTTAAGGGAACGTCAGAGACTCAGCGTTGAGGGAACGTCAGAGACTCAGCATTGAGGGAACGTCAGAGACTCAGCGTTGAGGGAACGTTAGAGACTCAGCGTTAAGTGAACGTTAGAGACTCAGCGTTAAGGGAACGTTAGAGACTCAGCGTTAAGGGAACGTTAGAGACTCAGCGTTAAGGGAATGTTAGACTCAGCGTTGAGGGAACGTTAGAGACTCAGCGTTAAGGGAACGTTAGAGACTCAGCGTTAAGGGAACGTTAGAGACTCAGCGTTGAGGGAACGTTAGAGACTCAGCGTTGAGGGAACGTTAGAGACTCAGCGTTAAGGGAACGTTAGAGACTCAGCGTTAAGGGAACGTTAGAGACTCAGCGTTAAGGGAACGTTAGAGACTCAGCGTTAAGGGAACGTTAGAGACTCAGCGTTAAGGGAACGTTAGAGACTCAGCGTTAAGGGAACATTAGAGACTCAGCGTTAAGGGAACGTTAGAGACTCAGCGTTGAGGGAACGTTAGAGACTCAGCGTTGAGGGAACGTTAGAGACTCAGCATTGAGGGAACGTTAGAGACTCAGCGTTGGGGGAACGTTAGAGACTCAGCATTGAGGGAACGTTAGAGACTCAGCGTTAAGGGAACGTTAGAGACTCAGCGTTAAGGGAACGTTAGAGACTCAGCGTTAAGGGAACGTTAGAGACTCAGCGTTAAGGGAACGTTAGAGACTCAGCGCTAAGGGAACGTTAGAGACTCAGCGTTAAGGGAACGTTAGAGACTCAGCGTTAAGGGAACGTTAGAGACTCAGCGTTAAGGGAACGTTAGAGACTCAGCATTAAGGGAACGTTAGAGACTCAGCGTTAAGGGAACGTTAGAGACTCAGCGTTAAGGGAACGTTAGAGACTCAGCGTTGAGGGAACGTTAGAGGACTCAGCGTTAAGGGAACGTTAGAGACTCAGCGTTAAGGGAACGTTAGAGGACTCAGCATTAAGGGAACGTTAGAGACTCAGCGTTAAGGGAACGTTAGAGACTCAGCGTTAAGGGAACGTTAGAGACTCAGCGTTAAGGGAACGTTAGAGACTCAGCGTTAAGGGAATGTTAGACTCAGCGTTGAGGGAACGTTAGAGACTCAGCGTTAAGGGAACGTTAGAGACTCAGCGTTAAGGGAACGTTAGAGACTCAGCGTTGAGGGAACGTTAGAGACTCAGCGTTGAGGGAACGTTAGAGACCAGCGTTAGAGACTCAGCGTAAGGGGAACGTTAGAGACTCAGCGTTAAGGGAACGTTAGAGACTCAGCGGTTAGGGGAACGTAGAGACTCAGCGTTAAGGGAACGTTAGAGACTCAGCGTTAAGGGAACGTTAGAGACTCAGCGTTGAGGGGAACGTTAGAGACTCAGCGTTGGGGAACGTTAGAGACTCAGCGTTGAGGGAACGTTAGAGACTCAGCGTTGAGGGGAACGTTAGAGACTCAGCGTTGAGGGAACGTTAGAGACTCAGCGTTTAAGGGAACGTTAGAGACTCAGCGTTAAGGGAACGTTCAGAGACTCAGCGCTTAAGGGAACGTCAGAGACTCAGCGTTAAGAGAACGTCAGGAGACTCAGCGTTAAGGGAACGTTAGAGGAATCAGCGTTAAGGGAACGTTAGAGACTCAGCGTTAAGGGAACGTTAGAGACTCAGCGTTAAGGGAACGTTAGAGACTCAGCGTTAAGGGAACGTTAGAGACTCAGCGTTAAGGGAACGTTAGAGACTCAGCGTTAAGGGAACGTTAGAGACTCAGCGTTAAGGGAACGTTAGAGACTCAGCGTTGAGGGAACGTTAGAGACTCAGCGTTGAGGGAACGTTAGAGACTCAGCGTTAAGGGAACGTTAGAGACTCAGCGTTAAGGGAACGTTAGAGACTCAGCGTTAAGGGAACGTTAGAGACTCAGCGTTAAGGGAACGTTAGAGACTCAGCGTTGAGGGAACGTTAGAGACTCAGCGTTAAGGGAACGTTAGAGACTCAGCGTTAAGGGAACGTTAGAGACTCAGCGTTAAGGGAACGTTAGAGACTCAGCGTTAAGGGAACGTTAGAGACTCAGCGTTAAGGGAACGTTAGAGACTCAGCGTTAAGGGAACGTTAGAGACTCAGCGTTGAGGGAACGTTAGAGACTCAGCGTTGAGGGAACGTTAGAGACTCAGCGTTGAGGGAACGTTAGAGACTCAGCGTTAGGGAACGTTAGAGACTCAGCGTTAAGGGAACGTTAGAGACTCAGCGTTAAGGGAACGTTAGAGACTCAGGTTAAGGGAACGTTAGAGACTCAGCTCTAAGGGAACGTTTAGAGACTCAGCGTTAAGGGAACGTTAGAGACTCAGCGTTAAGGGAACGTTAGAGACTCAGCGTTAAGGGAACGTTAGAGACTCAGCGTTAAGGGAACGTTAGAGACTCAGCGTTAAGGGAACGTTAGAGACTCAGCGTTTAAGGGAACGTTAGAGACTCAGCGTTAAGGGAACGTTAGAGACTCAGCGTTTAGGGAACGTTAGAGACTCAGCGTTAAGGGAACGTTTAGAGATCAGCGTTGAGGGAACGTTAGAGACTCAGCGTTAAGGGAACGTTAGAGACTCAGCGTTAAGGGAACGTTAGAGACTCAGGTTAAGGGAACGTTAGAGACTCAGCGTTTAAGGGAACGTTAGAGACTCAGCGTTAAGGGAACGTCAGAGACTCAGCGTTAAGACTCAGCGTTAAGGGAACGTCAGAGAATCAGCGTTAAGGGAACGTCAGAGACTCAGCGTTAAGGGAACGTCAGAGGACTCAGCGTTGAGGGAACGTCAGAGACTCAGCATTGAGGGACGTCAGAGACTCAGCGTTGATTTTCACTTTAAGTGAACGTTAGACTCCGCGTTAAGTGAACGTAGAGACTCAGCGTTAAGGGAACGTTAGAGACTCAGCGTTAAGGGAACGTTAGGACTCAGCGTTAAGGGAATGTTAGGACTCAGCGTTGAGGGAACGTTAAGAGACTCAGCGTTAAGGGAACGTTAGAGACTCAGCGTTAAGGGAACGTTAGAGACTCAGCGTTGAGGGAACGTTAGAGACTCAGCGTTAAGGGACGTTTAGAGACTCAGCGTTAAGGGAACGTTAGAGAGAATCAGCGTTAAGGGAACGTTAGAGACTCAGCGTTAAGGGAACGTTAGAGACTCAGCGTTAAGGGAACGTTAGAGACTCAGCGTTAAGGGAACGTTAGAGACTCAGCGTTAAGGGAACGTTAGAGACTCAGCGTTGAGGGAACGTTAGAGACTCAGCGTTGAGGGAACGTTAGAGACTCAGCGTTGAGGGAACGTTAGGACTCAGCGTTGAGGGAACGTTAGAGACTCAGCGTTAAGGGAACGTTAGAGACTCAGCGTTAAGGGAACGTTAGAGACTCAGCGTTAAGGGAACGTTAGAGACTCAGCGTTAAGGGAACGTTAGAGACTCAGCGCTAAGGGAACGTTAGAGACAGCGTTAAGGGAACGTTTAGAGACTCAGCGTTAAGGGAACGTTAGAGATCAGCGTTAAGGGAACGTTAGAGACTCAGCGTTAAGGGAACGTTAGAGACTCAGCGTTAAGGGAACGTTAGAGACTCAGCGTTAAGGGAACGTTAGAGACTCAGCGTTAAGGGAACGTTAGAGGATCGTTAGAGCTGGGCTTGCAAAATTATGGTAACTTTCCCAAAATTCCTAGGTTTTCCAAAAAATGAATATTCCCGGATTCAGAAGGGAATAAGCATGAAATCCAGAATTTTCCAACCAATATTTCTGGAAAAGCTGTGAATTTTTGGAAAGTTACCAGAAATTTGCAACCCTAGTTAGAGCACAGACCAAACTAAGGGGGGGAGGGGGGGAAAGTTGAAAATAGGTTACCTTTAGTCTGGTTGTTCTCCATATTCCCATCCTGCATTTTACCTACGGTGGAGACAAACGAGACACAGAACAAAAAGGACCGACAGTAAACAAACACACAATCGTCACCAGGACAACACAGTGAAATCTAAATAAACAGGAAGACAGAAACATGAATATTCATCGAACATTAGTCACGACCGTCACATACATAACAGAACAGCTGCTTTTTTAATGAGGTAAAGCTCTACTGTAGGGGATGGTAATTTTGGATGTCATTTTTTTATTTGTGGTTACAAGCTAGCAAAATGTTGTGTTTTTACCTGGGCTTTGCGAGTGACTATTGGAAATAATGTCAATCAAAGTAGATCATTTATAATAAAACTAGATTTGCAAATTATGTGACTATGCAGTAAATATTGAAATGTCATCTTTTGAAAGGTCTCCTAAAGCTAGTGCTGAGCGATTAACCGACATTTTGTTTGATTTTTTTGGGATTATTAAACCACTAATTGACCGACGTTGGTTTCAATTACTTGAATTACATTTATTTTATTTTATTCATGAGCCCAATGCGCCGTTTCTCCGGAGAGAAATCAAATCATTCACGAAAGAAATCAAGTCAAGAACTATGTGGGACGCTGGACTAAAGGGAGTTGTAGTTTTCATTAAGCAAATATTCAACCTAGTTCGGCGCGGAAACATGGTAATACGCCTGCTACTTAAGGTTAGATACGCACAGACCGCATGAGAGAGGAACCTAGAGCACTACAAAATTAAATAAAAAACATCATCGAAAACGTTTTTCTTAAAGGGTATCTTATAATTGCAGTTTAAAAAAAAAAAAAAACAGTGCAAGATGCAGTAAAACTTTTTGTTTGCTGTTTTTGTCTGATTTAAGTACTGTAGCTATGTGTTCGGATGAGCACAGTCTAAGATATCCTTTTCTGCTTACTTCTATGAACTTTAAAAAAAAGTGATTTGAGCATGATGCAACTATTGTTATTTGGGGCATGATGTATTGATAGACAGAATCACTTGACATGTTATACTGTAGTTGAGTAAACTGTAAGACCTATCTGACTCTGCTCAGATCTCCTCTCTATCCACTGGTGTGTTCATTTTGAAGAGTGACATACTCACATACAGACTACAGGGAGTTCCACACATCAACAGTACGAGAAAAGCCACTCAGATAGTTCATGAGGTATCAAGACACAGGTACAGATTCACAGAGTTAACACACACAATGAGGAAATAGAGTACAACACACACACACACACACACACACACACACACACACACACACACACACACACACACACACACACACACACACACGACCAACACAGAGCATGCAGTGTAACAGTGATGTCAGAATGCTCATGCAAGGTCAGACTGAGGGAGGAGAGGAATTGAAGTGAAGGAATTGAACGCTAGAGAGATAAATACTACAGGACTACCTCCCACCCAGGGGAACGCTAGAGAGATAAATACTACAGGACTACCTCCCACCCAGGGGAACGCTGGAGAGATAAATACTACAGGACTACCTCCCACCCAGGGGAACGATGGCGAGATAAATACTACAGGACTACCTCCCACCCAGGGGAACGCTGGAGAGATAAATACTACAGGTCTACCTCCCACCCAGGGGAACGCTAGAGAGATAAATACTACAGGACTACCTCCCACCCAGGGGAACGCTAGAGAGATAAATACTACAGGACTACCTCCCACCCAGGGGAACGCTAGAGAGATAAATACTACAGGACTACCTCCCACCCAGGGGAACGCTAGAGAGATAAATACTACAGGACTACCTCCCACCCAGGGGAACGCTGGAGAGATAAATACTACAGGACTACCTCCCACCCAGGGGAACGCTAGAGAGATAAATACTACAGGACTACCTCCCACCCAGGGGAACGCTAGAGAGATAAATACTACAGGACTACCTCCCACCCAGGGGAACGCTAGAGAGATAAATACTACAGGACTACCTCCCACCCAGGGGAACGCTGGAGAGATAAATACTACAGGACTACCTCCCACCCAGGGGAACGCTAGAGAGATAATACTACAGGACTACCTCCCACCCAGGGGAACGCTGGAGAGATAAATACTACAGGACTACCTCCCACCCAGGGGAACGCTGGAGAGATAAATACTACAGGACTACCTCCCACCCAGGGGAACGCTAGAGAGATAAATACTACAGGACTACCTCCCACCCAGGGGAACGATGGAGAGATAAATACTACAGGACTACCTCCCACCCAGGGGAACGCTAGAGAGATAAATACTACAGGACTACCTCCCACCCAGGGGAACGATGGAGAGATAAATACTACAGGACTACCTCCCACCCAGGGGAACGCTAGAGAGATAAATACTACAGGACTACCTCCCACCCAGGGGAACGATGGAGAGATAAATACTACAGGACTACCTCCCACCCAGGGGAACGATGGAGAGATAAATACTACAGGACTACCTCCCACCCAGGGGAACGCTGGAGAGATAAATACTACAGGACTACCTCCCACCCAGGGGAACGATGGAGAGATAAATACTACAGGACTACCTCCCACCCAGGGGAACGCTAGAGAGATAAATACTACAGGACTACCTCCCACCCAGGGGCCTGATAGACAACAGGACTACCATTAAAGCCACTGGATCCTACACACATACACTTTTCGTTTTTTAATTTCTTATGTCAATTCATTTTTTACATGTACTTCTTTACCTTTTATTTCAAGGTACACCCTACCAACAAATGATTGTACCAAAACAATATCTGTCCAAATGCAAACATTGAATACCTTGGTGCATATTACTAAAGGAAAACAAAGTGAAACGCTTGTCAAGTGAGCATCTCCTGCATATCTATAACCATCTGCATCATACTCAGAATGTTTCTTTCTGAGTCAGTGTAATGGACATCTCTATTCAGTTCATTTCAACAACAATATCAGATCCATTCCCAGAGGAAACAACGAGGCTGCTGAAAATGACATTTACCCCATTCACCTGCCACTGCAGTGCAGAGAGGCATGTCAGGACCATAATGTGAGAAACAGACGATCAGGGGAGCTGAGCTTACCACTGCAGTGCAGTGCAGAGAGACAGGTCAGGACCATAATGTGAGAAACAGACGATCAGGGGATCTGAGCTTACCACTGCAGTGCAGTGCAGAGAGACAGGTCAGGACCATAATGTGAGAAACAGACGATCAGGGGATCTGAGCTTACCACTGCAGTGCAGTGCAGAGAGACAGGTCAGGACCATAGAGTGAGAGATAGACAATCAGGGGGTGAGCTGAGCAGCAAACAGTACACAACACAATGGATGCGTCCCAAATGGCAGCCTATTCCCTACATAGTGCACTACTTGGTTTCCCTGTGGGTCCTGTTAAAAAGTAGTGTACTATATAGGGAATAGGGTGGTATTTGGGACGCAGCCTGGGGGTAGATTAATCTACTTCAGATATCAGTCACAGAAAACTAGTAATCGACTATGTGACCTGCCCTGAGAATAACCAGTAGTCATTTCTGAGGAACATTTAGCCCCTACACATTCCATGATAGTAAAGACATGCTAGTCATGGCTAGCAACCGGCAACCCCAACCTTCTTCAACACATAGAGTATATCACTGAGAACACTTACAGAATGTGGCTTTATTAAACCCCTTATCGAACATCCTCTCTAACCTCCAACGCAGCCACCGGATCATCCCCTCACTGCTTACCTACATAATATTGGATGTATTGTGGTAGTCCTACTCAGTCACTCAACCCAAATAACAGAAGGAAAGAAAAGGAGGAAGAGAGAAATGAAGACTGTTCCTCAGGAAAATAACATGCATTAAAGGAGAGAAGGTGGGGAGATAGGGAGGAGGAGGAGGAGAAGGAGGAGGAGGAGCAGAGTGGGCAGATAGGGAGGAGGAGGTGGAGGAGGTGGAGGAGGTGGAGGAGAGTGGGCAGATAGGGAGGAGGAGGTGGAGGAGGTGGAGGAGAGTGGGCAGATAGGGAGGAGGAGGTGGAGGAGAGTGGGCAGAGAGGGAGGAGGAGGTGGAGGTGGAGGAGGTGGAGGAGAGTGGGCAGAGAGGGAGGAGGAGGTGGAGGTGGAGGAGGAGGAGGAGGAGGAGGAGAGTGGGCAGATAGGGAGGAGGAGGTGGAGGAGGTGGAGGAGGTGGAGGAGAGTGGGCAGATAGGGAGAAGGAGGTGGAGGAGGGTGGAGGAGAGTGGGCAGATAGGGAGGAGGAGGTGGAGGAGAGTGGCAGAGAGGGAGGAGGAGGTGGAGGTGGAGGAGGTGGAGGAGAGTGGGCAGAGAGGGAGGAGGAGGTGGAGGTGGAGGAGGAGAGTGGGCAGATAGGGAAGAGGAGGTGGAGGAGGTGGAGGAGAGTGGGCAGATAGGGAGGAGGAGGGGGAGGTGGAGGAGGAGGAGGTGGAAGAGAGTGGGCAGAGAGGGAGGAGGAGGTGGAGGAGGTGGAGGAGAGTGGGCAGAGAGGGGGGTGGAGGAGGTGGAGGAGGTGGAGGAGAGTGGGCAGAGAGGGGGGTGGAGGAGGTGGAGGAGGGAGGAGGCAGTGGTACCCAGCGGGGGGTAGCAGGACAGGAAGGAGGTTCTGGTCAACCTACCATTGACTAGGCTGGCATTGCCAAGTGCAATACCGCCTGCAGCACCATCGGTGGCTATGGTTGCGATGGGGTGGACAGAGGGATGGGGGCAGTCTAGCAAGTAAATCATGGGTAAAAAAGACGGCCAACAGTGAACCAAAAGAACATGGTTAAGAGCTTGAATAACAGGACGATTAGTTGGTGTTGTTGTAGTTACTATCATGGTTGGGGTCAATCCCCTTTCAATTGCTGTCAATTCAGTACACTGACATTTCAATTCTAATTCCCTTTCTCTTCAATGCCTTTCACTAAGAACAATTTGGAATTGGAATTTGGTTTACTTTCTGAATTGACTGGAATTTAAATGGAATTGACCCCAACACTCAGCTGTTTAAAACAAACAGGAGAAATGGTTCCATACAGGCAGAGCATTACAAACATAACGCAATATACAGTGCATTCGGTTTTGTTACGTTACAGCCTTATTCTAAAATGGATTACATTCTTTTTTTCCCTCATCAATCTACACACAATACCCCATACTGACAAAGCGAAAACAGGTTTTTAGAAATGTTTGCTAATTTACTACAAATAAAAAACAGAAATACCTTATTGACATAAGTATTCAGACCTTTTGCTATGAGACTCGAAATTGAACTCAGGTGCATCCTGTTTACATTGATCATCCTTGAGATGTTTCTACAACTTGATTGCAGTCCACCTGTGGTAAATTCAATTGATTGGACATGATTTGTAAGGGCACACACCTGTATATATAAGGTCCCACAGTTGACAGTGCATGTCAGAGCAAAAACTAAGCCATGAGGTCGAATGAATTGTCCATAGAGCTCAGAGACAGGATTGTGTCGAGACACAGATCTGGGGAAGGGTACCAAAAAATGTCTGCAGCATTGAAGGTCACCAAGAACACAATGGCCTCCATCATTCTTAAATGGAAGAAGTTTGGAACCACCAAGACTCTTCCTAGAGCTGGCCGCCCGGCCAAACTGAGCAATCGGGGAAGAAGGGCCTTGGTCAGGGAGGTGACCAAGAACCCGATGAGCTCCAGAGTTCCTCTGTGGAGATGGGAGAACCTGCCAGAAGGACAACCATCTCTGCAGCACTCCACCAATCAGGCCTTTATGGTAGAGTGGCCAGACGGAAGCCACTCCTCAGTAAAAAGCACATGACAGCCCACTTGGAGTTTGCCAAAAGGCACCTAAAGACTCTCAGACCATGAGAAACAAGATTCTCTGGTCTGATGAAACCAAGATTGAACTTTAGCTTGAATGCCAAGCGTCAGATTTGGAGGAAACCTGGCACCATCCCTACGGTGAAGCACGGTGTTGGCAGCATCATGCTGTGGGGATGTTTTTCAGCGGCAGGGACTGGGAGACTTGTCAGGATCGAGGGAAAGATGAACGGAGCAAAGTACAGAGAGATCCTTGATGAAAACCTGCTCAGGACCTCAGACTGGGGTGAAGGTTCACCTTCCAACAGGACAACGACCCCAAGCACACAGCCAAGACAACGCAGGAGTGGCTTCGGGACAAGTCTCTGAATGTCCTTGAGTGGCCCAGCCAGAGCCCGGACTTGAACCCCGATTGAACAACTCTGGAGAGACCTGGAAATAGCTGTGCAGCGACGCTCCCCATCCAACTTGACAGAGCTTGAGAGGATCTGCAGAGAAGAATGGGAGAAACACCCCAAATACAGGTGTGCCAAGCTTAGGTAGCGTCATACCCAAGAAGACTCAAGGCCGTAATTGCTGCCAAAGGTGCTTCAACAAAGTACTCAATAAAGGGTCTGAATACTTATGTAAATGTGACATTTCAGTTTTTTCTATTTATTATTATTTGCAAACATTTCTAAAAACTTGTTTTTGCTTTATCAATAAGGAGTATTGTGTGTAGATTGATGAGGGCAAAAAAACGATATAATCAATTTTAGAGTAAGGCTGTGTCTTTAAAAACATGTGGAAAGAGTCAAGAGGTCTGAATACTTTCCGAGTGCAACTGTAAAACAGGAAATAACAACACAACAATAATGGATAAACCAAATGAAAGGAACATTAATAAATGGCTGAGTAAGAGGTCTGACCAATTTCCTCAACGAAACACCTCAAACCAGTGAAGAGAAAAACAGACTAAAGATCTATCCGTCAGGTGGTTTTAAGCAGTAAGGCCTGATGGGGGGGGGGGGGGGGGGGGGGGGGGGGGGGGGGGGTTATTACAGTCCCCTGTAGCTCAGTTGGTAGAGCGTGGCGCTTGCAACGCCAGGGTTGTGGGTTCGTTTCCCACGGTGGGGGGGGGGCAGTATGAAAATATGTATGCACTCACTAACTGTAAGTCGCTCTGGATAAGAGCGTCTGCTAAAATGACTAAAATGTTAAATGTATTAGGCCAATATACCACTGCTAAAGGCTGTTCTTAGGTACAACGCAAATGAGAGTAGAGCCTGGATACAGCCCTTAGCCGTGGTATATTGGCCATATACCACAAACTCCCGAGGTGCCTTATTGCTATTATAAACTGGTTACCAACGTAATTAGAACAGTAAACAAGTCATTTTGTGCTTTCAGCCAATCAGTATTCAGGGTTCGAACGACCCGGTTTATTAGGTCTGAGTATACCAAACATTAGGAACTAACTGTAAGTGGCTCTGGATAAGAGCGTCTGCTAAATGACTAACATGTAAACAATGTAAACAATGTAAACAATGTAAGTAAATAACAACATAAATAAGAACAGTGTTAAGAGCAGAAGAAAGAGCATTGTGGTTAAACTGCTTGAATCAGGGTTGGGCTCAATCCCATCTCAATCCCATCTCAATCCCATCTCAAACCCATCTCAAACCCATCTCAATCCCATCTCAATTCAGAATGTAAACCAAATTCCAACTCCAAATGTTCCCAATTGAAAAGCATTGAAGAGAATTGGAATTTCAATGCACTTCCTGAATTGACTGAAATTTTAATTGAATTGACCCCGAACCCTGATGACAGTTGAGCATTGTGGTTAAACTGCTTGAATGTCAAATTCCACCATCACAACAATGGTCAACAGACATCCAGACGGACATCTGTTGGAGGAGAAAAAAACACAACTTAACGACTTTATCAATAACTTACTCAGGGGTGGAATTGGGAGGAGCACTTAAGAAAAAAGTTCACAATGCGCAATAATTCTTTACATGTAAAAATGGGTTTTGAATGATAATGTTAAATTCCCAGAGTGATTTTTTTCTTTCTTCAATTCCACTCCTGTGCATACTGCATACTGCATACTGCATACTGAATACTGAATACTGCATACTACATACTGCATACTGAATACTGCATACTGCATACGGCATACTGAATACAGCATACTGCATACTGCATACTGCATACAGCATACTGCATACTGCATACTGAATACTGCATACTGAATACTGAATACTTCATACTGCATACTGAATACTGAATAGTGCATACTGAATAGTGCATACTGCATACTGAATACTGCACACTGAATACTGCATACTTCCCAGTCCACATGGCCGTACAGGGTTCACATGGCCCTGTTAGCAGTAGTTGTTACCTCCGTACAGGGTTTAAATATTGTACACTTCACAGAGCACAGGCAAAGTGTACTTCATGGGAGAGTGTAAGCAACCCTACACCCCAACCCGAGCCCTCCGTCCTGCCACCTCTGGTCTCTTGGCTCTCCCACCCCTACGGGAGGGCAGCTCCCGCTCAGCCCAGTCCAAGCTCTTCTCTGTCCTGGCACCCCAATGGTGGAACAAGCTTCCCCCTGAAGCTAGGACAGCAGAGTCCCTTCCCATCTTCCAAAAACATCTGAAACCCTACGTCTTCAAAGAGTATCTTAAATAATCCCCCTCCTGACCTCGACCCCCTTCCTGAACCAACGCTTGCTATTCTAGCTCTGACTCTATTGATACCTACTCTATTGAGGGAAAGTGTACTTACTATAACTGCCTGTGATATGTGGTTGTCCCACCTAGCTATTTTAAGATGAATGCACTAACTGTAAGTCACTCTGGATAAGAGCGTCTTCTAAATGACTAAAATGTCAAATGTAGAATGGCCTCAGACCAGTAGTCTTCCATCCTATGGGCTCTGGTCAAAGGGATGCAGGTTATGTTTTACAAGGTAGTAGTCTGGAGAAGCTGCTCTCTCAGACTAACTAACAGCATCAAAGAGGTGTTTCAGCGAGGAGCAGTCATCCCAAACGGAGACAGCCTGGCATCACACAGATGATCAGAGCATGAATCAGGTCAAGTTTAATATCTTTTAAGTCTTTCTGGGGTGAATTTTAATGTTCCATCATTCCTCCTGAAGCTGCACTTTAACTCAGTATCTTCTTAGTGGTTAGTTGATTTAACCAATCACAGGCTGGGATCACATTGATTTAACCAATCACAGGCTGGGATCACGTTGATTTAACCAATCACAGGCTGGGATCACGTTGATTTAACCAATCACAGGCTGGGATCACGTTGATTTAACCAATCACAGGCTGGGATCATGTTGATTTAACCAATGACAGGCTCTGATTTTCAGCGATAATGTTGATTTAACCAATCACAGGCTGGGATCATGTTGATTTAATCGATCACAGGCTGGGAACATGTTCATTTAACCAACCACAGGCTGGAATCATGTTGATTTAACCAATGACAGGCTCTGATTTTCAGCGATAATGTTGATTTAACCAATCACAGGCTGGGATCACATTGATTTAACCAATCACAGGCTGGGATCACATTGATTTAACCAATCACAGGCTGGGATCACGTTGATTTAACCAATCACAGGCTGGGATCATGTTGATTTAACCAACCACAGGCTGGAATCATGTTGATTTAACCAATGACAGGCTCTGATTTTCAGCGATAATGTTGATTTAACCAATACGGGCTGGATAGTTGTTTTAACCAAATCACGGGCGGGGAAAATCATGTTGATTTTAACCAACACAGGGGGGAATCATGTTGTTTAAAACCAATAAAAGGGGCTGGGATCATGTTGATTTAACCCAAAAAGTTTAATCATTTTGATTTAACCAAACAGGCTGGGACATTTGTTTTAAACCAATCCGGCGGGAAATA